ATTCTTTGACTTTTAGATTATTATGTCAGATACATACAGCTCTTCGTTAATCTGGACGTATTGGATATTAATGCGTCCGCATTGACAAGGTTGTTAACATAACGTGATTATCAAATAGGATTAACGAAAAAGTTGGTATTTTAGTTTTAGGGTGACTTGGACCATTAAGGGTCTACTTGCTCCCAGTAAATGACTTTAAACCAGTGAGTGCCGTTTATTTGACGATTAACCAATCTGCTTCATATATGTTAAATATAATAATTAATATGTTAAAACCGCAAGTAAACTTTATGTAATTTCTGAAAAGTTTGTCCTCATTCCATAAAAAAACAGATCAGAAAAAAAAGGAAATCCTGGTTCCGGTTTAACGAATCCTGGAGTATAGAGTAATGTCCCTTTGTAAATATGTAGACATTCACAAGAAATAAACGCATTGAAAGAGAGGGGTTTGCATTAACGGGGTCTGTTCTAACGGGTACTCCTGTAACAGTCCTGTAACTAAGTCCTGTAACTAAACTGAACTACCAATCACAAGTCACTACAGCTTGTTTTGTTAAGTCCGACTATATAACATCCTAAATTTGACAGATGACTATCTTTACTGTTTTTATGCTAGGGCCCCAGTCGGAAACTACTCCCGATCAACTTTATAATACGTTACTGTCATGTGGTTTTACAACTTTTGGACTTGCATATGCGTCATGGCATTGTGTCGACTCACTCTATAGTGTATAATTGTAAAGATAAAGGAACGCTTTGATATACAATGTAGTAGGTATAATTGAGTGAGTGAGTGAGTTTAATTTATGTTTTATCATCAATTTTCCGGATGTGAGTGAGTATGGTTTTACGCCGCTTTTAGCAATACTCCAGCAATATCACGAAATAATAGAAATGGGCTTCACACATTGTACCCATGTGGGGAATCGAACCCGGGTCTTCGGAGTACAAGGCGACTTTCAGCTGTGACGAACTGGATCCTCCAGGAGTTGCCAGTGTCAGCCAGTTTTACGGCGCGAACTTACACTGTGACTATCGTGAGTCAGTATTGAAGTGCAGTAGTTACGACTATCGTAACACTCTGTTGAAGCTAGGGAGTTTCTATTGTCGTAGTATTGGAACTACTCTGTCGACCATTCTCGAAACAGATGTTAAAGTACGACACTTGTAAGTCTATGTTAAAGCGCGGGACTTATCATTATCGCTTTGTGAAACAGTTCGTGGTTGCAACTTGATCCCTACTTTTTTGAAAATATATATCCAGAAAAAAATCCAAATGGGACCGGGAACGGAGCTGTGGCATTCTATATTTGATTCATTTTATTATTACATATCTAGGGTATGGCCCAGGGCCCCGTTCCACAAATCGATCTTAGCGCTAAGTCGGTCGTAACTCCCATTCTTTAACACTGACCTACGACAGTCGTAGCGCTAAGATCACTTTGTGGAACGGACCCCAGGAATACATATTGTTATATGGCAGTGTAATTTGTTGTTGAACAATGATTGCAAATGTATTACATCTCACATTTCATCTGTCATTACATCAAGACCAGCGGATGTGTGAAGATCACTTTTCGCCATGGAAGGATGGCCACTGTTGTGGATAGGTGAATATTATTATCACCGAACTGGTTGACATCACCACTGCCATCATATTTTTGTATTTTATACTGATAACTGCTATCATATTATATACTGCCATTGAATATTGTACTACCACTCTATTGTGCACTGCCATTGTAATTGCTCTGCAGTAATTTGTATTGATTTGTGAACCTAGTAAACTTTGTTGATTGTACACCATTTGTTGGTTGTTTTTTGGTTTCACATTATGTTCTTTCACGTACAGATTTCTGGGTTAACATATTGTTTCAATTTGAGAATCGACACATAACAATATCGTGTTACATATCACATGTATTATGGGCGGACCACGGACTACAGAGAGATCCAGGTGAACAGTATCCGTTTGGGATGGCGTGCAATTTATCCTCTTATCCGTCAGCAGGACACACGCACGCCTCTTATCCGTCAGCAGGACACCCACATGTCTGACATCTGTCAGCAGGACACCCGCATGCCTCGTATCCTTCATCAGGACACCCACGTGTCTGATATCCGTCAGGACACCAATATGCCTCTTATCCGTCAGCAGGACACCCGCATGCCTCGTATCCTTCAGCAGGACACCCACGTGTATGATATCCGTCAGGACACCAATATGCCTCTTATCCGTCAGCAGGACACCCGCATGCCTCGTATCCTTCAGCAGGACACCCACATGTCTGATATCCGTCAGGACACCCATATGCCTCTTATCCGTCAGCAGGACACCCATGTGTCTGATATCCGTCAGCAGGACACCCACATGTCTGATATCTGTCAGGAGGACACCCACGTGTATGATATCTGTCAGCAGAACACCCACGTGTATGATATCCGTCAGCAGGACACCCACATGTCTGACATCTGTCAGCAGGACACCCAAATGCCTCATATCCGTCAGCAGGAAACCCACGTGTCTGATATCTGTCAGCAGGAAACCTACATGTCTGATATCTGTCAGCAGGACACCCACATGTCTGATATCTGTCAGCAGGACACCCACATGTCTGATATCTGTCAGCAGGACACCCACATGTCTGATATCTGTCAGCAGGACACCCACATGTCTGATATCTGTCAGCAGGACACCCGCACGCCTGATACACTTGGCGTCGTCTTTAATGGAGTAGCCTTACCCAAAACGTAACGCATACACATGGTAATTACATGTATTACCCCCATCAATGATATGTCCGCTCCACACGACAATCCAGCGATTGACTTCATGAGCATCTTATCGCACAACTGGGATAATATGACATGCTTTCAACCAAGACACCTAGCCTGACCACCAGATCCGTGTCGTCGTCTCATATGAGAAGCATAGGTTGTCGGGGAACTTATATGCTTTGCCGAACCCTCTCGGGTTGACCCGAGATCGAATAGCGTAGACAGGATGTTGTGTCGTTCAAATAAGATGTCGAATTGCGTAGATACGATGGCGTATTACTGACAAAAGTTTCGAATACCGAGTACATGATTACGTAACGATATCATCCGATTTCGAAAAACGTGGCTATGATGTCGATGATGCCAAACATTTTGAAAACGTAGACATGAGGTGAGGTATGTGGGGTGAGTGGGGTGAGTGGGGTGAGGTGAAATGGGGTTTAAGGTCGCGTGCAAGATTATTGCACTTATATTTCGACGTGAATGCACGTGTGTGTGTATATGGCTGTTTGCACTAGTCTGGAATTACGCCAGTTTTTAGTGCTAGCCAACTGAGATACCATGCCGCAGATTAACATGAATAACCCACTCAGACACATTATACTGACTCCGAGCCGACCAGTCCTTGTTTTATCCGCTCAAGGGGGCGGTCGGGTAGCCTAGTGGTTAAAGCGTTCGCTGGTCACGCTGAAGACCCGGGTTCGATTCCCGACATGGGTACAATGTGTGAAGCCCATTTCTGGTGTCCCCCCGCCGTGATATTGTTGGAATATTGCTAAAAGCGGCGTAAAACCATACTCACTCACTCACTCACTTATCCGCTCAATGCCGAACGCCAGGCGGGGTAACAACATATAACATATTTTAATATCTTCGGGTATGACGCGGAAGGGGAGCAAACCATCGACCTGCCACTCACGATTTTCTTGGGCTTCGGTTCTGCCCCACCCTGAAACGCATGTTACATGCGGCGTCGTCTTGCTCGAAATACGCCTCTGTTCACCCAGCAATGAAAGGGTAACCAGTAGGATGAGATGGTGATCGTTAACCCTCTACTGCCTCATAGGCAGCTTGGGTTGTATACTACCCAGGGTTGCTTGGTTGGTTTGTTGTTTAACGCCGCACCAGCAATATTCCAGCTATATGACGGCGGTCTGTAAATAATCGAGTCTGGACCAGACAATCCAGTGATTAATATCATGAGCATCGAACCATGCAATTGGGATCGATGACATGCATCAACCAAGTCAGCGAGCCTGACCACCCGATCCCGTTAGTCGCCTGTTACGGCAAGCATGGGTTGGAATCTTCACGGGTCACTACCCAGGGAGTTGAAAATGACATTCCAGTGCCCACTATTCCATTGAACGGGGCTAATATTATTATGTAGCGTCGCTGAGTAGCTATACAAGTTGCCTTATCATTATTATCATTATTGTTGTTGTTGTTGTTTGTGTTGTTGTTTAAACTCCCCCTTACCCTTGGAGAGAGGCCACTGTATATTATATCAAATGAATGCATAGATTTGATTGGTATTTCACTGGCGTTAATCATATGCTGCATAAAGGACGATTACCTCAGGATGGAAAATATATTTAAATGAAATTATTAATCAACAGTCAAGGTTTTGGTCAAATTTAATGAAACGCAAACACATTGAAGACTTCACAACACTACATTTATATAGGTTTTGAATAGGATACTTCAGCATTATCAACATCAAACGCGAGCTAACTAATAAATTAAACAATATATTTATATCAGGATACGTTTTATCCATGGTATAATTGTTATTCAGTTATGGTGGTCGTCGAGCTTCATGTTGGTGTATCTGGTAAGAATGCAATATTAAACTTATGGCGCAAATAAAAGTATGTTACCTATTCATGGTAAAAATATCAACTACCGAAAAGGTGAATTGTCGATATATATTATCATATTTAATGTTAGTAAATCACCAGTTATATGGTGGGTAGGACATGGTGACAGGATAAAGTGAAAAAACCATACAATTTTGTCGATTATTAATATTTGGTTTGTGCATCACGTTTCAACACCAGATCGAGAGAGAGAATGTATGTATGTGTGTGTTTGTCTGTGAATAAGTAAGTCAAATGGACAGTTCTATTCGCGGCGCATATGTTTCATGGTTTATATTTGATGCATACGTGTTATTTTTTTTAATATGTATTTTTCAATGAAAATTCAAATTTGTTTTTCAGTCTATTGAACAGTATCGACCCACAGGATAGTTGATCTGCCAGCCGTTACAGAGCTCGTGTTTTTCACCAGGGTTGTTGTCGCCGTGCCTGGACTCCACGCTAACCCTACCCACTGATAGAGACACCGTCCTTGCCTGCAGCAGTGTGGTACTGAGACTACACATCGTCAAGTGATGCTGCACCGTATGTGTTTCGGTGTGGGCGATTCTGCCCTAACCTCACCGCGCCAGTGTTTCACAAATCGACAGTTTAAAGTGAGGAATAGTACCAGATGCCGTCCCAGCTAAACCAATTAAAAATAAATCAAATAGAGTGAGTGAGTGAGTATGGTTCTACGCCTCTTTCAACAATATTCCTCTCATGTCAAGATGGGTGACGTCACACGCCGCACGACGTGGGGTATCAAACCACGTCTTCGATGAGACGAGCGACCCCTCCAACCATCGAACGAAGTGAGTAAGTGAGTGAGTGACTGAGTGAGTAAGATATAATGCTGCTTTATACATTATTTGAGTGATAATAGCGTGTTAGCTTGATGTGGGAGGGAAGTTCAAAGTGATTCCCAGACGTTTAATACTTTAGTGAAACCCACCCAGGTACTTGGTATACTGTATACCAGGGCTAAACTAGGATTTAAAGCCCACGATCATCGGATTCTGTTACGAAAAAGGGACATAACTGCACAATGAATTATGGTGCCTAAGACGACTGCCACACGTGCTCCCTACCATACACCGAACTATGTTTGATACTTCTTTAAAAGAGATGTCAAAGCGCCAGGGTTGTCGTGAAACTTATATAAATACTCCATGACAGCGCCCGAATCGATGGGTTTGTGACCAACTTGTGTGAGGAGTATTTTTAGGAAATTCATGTGTAGTGTTAAAATGCGTAGTTTTTGAGTAATGCGCGCCATTGTTTGCGGGCAGAAGGATTTGTTTAGCTATTAAATGACTGAGATAATGAACCGCAAAAAGCATCTTCATCAAGTTTACGATACATCATCCTACGTGTATTGTCGTAAATAATTGCAAATTTAACTTTTGCCAGGTGTTGTGTTTACGGCAGTTAAAATTTAGCCCAGAACACATGTGCCGTTTGCTAGATGAATTTGCAACTAATAGTATTCACACACAAATAATTGACCTGCAAACATATTTAATAAATATCAAAAATGAAATTTCCTTAACTCGTTATATGCGAAACAAAACCAACATTTTATTTATTGTGTTGATGATCTGTACACCCATACGTGTCACGTTGAGGACTGAGGAGAAACCGCGACTGCAGTCTCCGTCATTTACCCAATACATGTGTATTTACTTGTGGGGGAGCTTGTCAACTGAAGATAGGTTGAAAACGCCCTAGATTCTCACTGATATGCTCCTATGTCTCTCAGTCAGATTCTCGAATAATACCATTCCACATTTATCTAAATCAACACAACGACTCCAGAATATTCATTACTTGTCGTCACTAGGTTTTGTCAAAGTGGGGGAAGGAGAGCGATCAAGGTTTTGTCAAAGTGGGGGAAGGAGAGCGATAAAGGTTTTGTCAAAGTGGGGGAAGGAGAGCGATCAAGGTTTTGTCAAAGTGGGGGAAAATAGCGATCAAGGTTTTGTCAAAGTGGGGGAAGGAGGTCGATCAAGGTTTTGTCAAAGTGGGGGAAGGAGGTCGATCAAGGTTTTGTCAAAGTGGGGGAAGGAGAGCGATCAAGGTTTTGTCAAAGTGGGGGAAGAAGGGCGATCAAGGTTTTGTCAAAGTGGGGGAAGGAGAGCGATCAAGGTTTTGTCAAAGTGGGGGAAGGAGAGCGATCAAGGTTTTGTCAAAGTGGGGGAAAATAGCGATCAAGGTTTTGTCAAAGTGGGGGAAGGAGAGCGATCAAGGTTTTGTCAAAGTGGGGGAAGAAGGGCGATCAAGGTTTTGTCAAAGTGGGGGAAGGAGAGCGATCAAGGTTTTGTCAAAGTGGGGGAAGAAGGGCGATCAAGGTTTTGTCAAAGTGGGGGAAGGAGGTCGATCAAGGTTTTGTCAAAGTGGGGGAAGGAGGTCGATCAAGGTTTTGTCAAAGTGGGGGAAAATAGCGATCAAGGTTTTGTCAAAGTGGGGGAAGGAGAGCGATCAAGGTTTTGTCAAAGTGGGGGAAGAAGGGCGATCAAGGTTTTGTCAAAGTGGGGGAAGGAGGTCGATCAAGGTTTTGTCAAAGTGGGGGAAAATAGCGATCAAGGTTTTGTCAAAGTGGGGGAAGGAAGTCGATCAAGGTTTTGTCAAAGTGGGGGAAAATAGCGATCAAGGTTTTGTAAAAGTGGGGGAAGGAGGGCGATCAAGGTTTTGTCAAAGTGGGGGAAGAAGGGCGATCAAGGTTTTGTCAAAGTGTTGGAAGGAGGGCGATCAAGGTTTTGTCAAAGTGGGGGAAGGAGGTCGATCAAGGTTTTGTCAAAGTGGGGGAAGGAGGGCGATCAAGGTTTTGTCAAAGTGGGGGAAGAAGGGTGATCAAGGTTTTGTCAAAGTGGGGGAAGGAGATCGATCAAGGTTTTGTCAAAGTGGGGGAAGAAGGGCGATCAAGGTTTTGTCAAAGTGGGGGAAGGAGGGCGATCAAGGTTTTGTCAAAGTGGGGGAAGGAGAGCGATCAAGGTTTTGTCAAAGTGTTGGAAGGAGATCGATCAAGGTTTTGTCAAAGTGGGGGAAGGAGGGTGATCAAGGTTTTGTCAAAGTGGGGGAAGGAGGGCGATCAAGGTTTTGTCAAAGTGGGGGAAGGAGGGCGATCAAGGTTTTGTCAAAGTGGGGGAAGGAGATCGATCAAGGTTTTGTCAAAGTGGGGGAAGGAGAGCGATCAAGGTTTTGTCAAAGTGGGGGAAGGAGAGCGATCAAGGTTTTGTCAAAGTGTTGGAAGGAGATCGATCAAGGTTTTGTCAAAGTGGGGGAAGGAGGGCGATCAAGGTTTCGTCAAAGTGGGGGAAGAAGGGTGATCAAGGTTTTGTCAAAGTGGGGGAAGGAGATCGATCAAGGTTTTGTCAAAGTGGGGGAAGAAGGGCGATCAAGGTTTTGTCAAAGTGGGGGAAGGAGGGCGATCAAGGTTTTGTCAAAGTGAGAAAGGAGATCGATCAAGGTTTTGTCAAAGTGGGGGAAGGAGAGCGATCAAGGTTTTGTCAAAGTGGGGGAAGGAGAGCGATCAAGGTTTTGTCAAAGTGTTGGAAGGAGATCGATCAAGGTTTTGTCAAAGTGGGGGAAGGAGGGCGATCAAGGTTTCGTCAAAGTGGGGGAAGAAGGGTGATCAAGGTTTTGTCAAAGTGGGGGAAGGAGATCGATCAAGGTTTTGTCAAAGTGGGGGAAGAAGGGCGATCAAGGTTTTGTCAAAGTGGGGGAAGGAGGGCGATCAAGGTTTTGTCAAAGTGAGAAAGGAGATCGATCAAGGTTTTGTCAAAGTGGGGGAAGGAGAGCGATCAAGGTTTTGTCAAAGTGGGGGAAGGAGAGCGATCAAGGTTTTGTCAAAGTGTTGGAAGGAGATCGATCAAGGTTTTGTCAAAGTGGGGGAAGGAGGGTGATCAAGGTTTTGTCAAAGTGGGGGAAGGAGGGCGATCAAGGTTTTGTCAAAGTGGGGGAAGGAGGGCGATCAAGGTTTTGTCAAAGTGGGGGAAGGAGATCGATCAAGGTTTTGTCAAAGTGGGGGAAGGAGAGCGATCAAGGTTTTGTCAAAGTGGGGGAAGGAGAGCGATCAAGGTTTTGTCAAAGTGTTGGAAGGAGATCGATCAAGGTTTTGTCAAAGTGGGGGAAGGAGGGCGATCAAGGTTTCGTCAAAGTGGGGGAAGAAGGGTGATCAAGGTTTTGTCAAAGTGGGGGAAGGAGAGCGATCAAGGTTTTGTCAAAGTGAGAAAGGAGATCGATCAAGGTTTTGTCAAAGTGGGGGAAGGAGAGCGATCAAGGTTTTGTCAAAGTGGGGGAAGGAGAGCGATCAAGGTTTTGTCAAAGTGTTGGAAGGAGATCGATCAAGGTTTTGTCAAAGTGGGGGAAGAAGGGTGATCAAGGTTTTGTCAAAGTGGGGGAAGGAGGGCGATCAAGGTTTTGTCAAAGTGGGGGAAGGAGGGCGATCAAGGTTTTGTCAAAGTGGGGGAAGGAGATCGATCAAGGTTTTGTCAAAGTGGGGGAAGGAGAGCGATCAAGGTTTTGTCAAAGTGGGGGAAGGAGAGCGATCAAGGTTTTGTCAAAGTGTTGGAAGGAGATCGATCAAGGTTTTGTCAAAGTGGGGGAAGGAGGGCGATCAAGGTTTCGTCAAAGTGGGGGAAGAAGGGTGATCAAGGTTTTGTCAAAGTGGGGGAAGGAGAGCGATCAAGGTTTTGTCAAAGTGGGGGAAGGAGAGCGATCAAGGTTTTGTCAAAGTGGGGGAAGGAGAGCGATCAAGGTTTTGTCAAAGTGTTGGAAGGAGATCGATCAAGGTTTTGTCAAAGTGGGGGAAGGAGGGTGATCAAGGTTTTGTCAAAGTGGGGGAAGGAGGGCGATCAAGGTTTTGTCAAAGTGGGGGAAGGAGGGCGATCAAGGTTTTGTCAAAGTGGGGGAAGGAGATCGATCAAGGTTTTGTCAAAGTGGGGGAAGGAGAGCGATCAAGGTTTTGTCAAAGTGGGGGAAGGAGAGCGATCAAGGTTTTGTCAAAGTGTTGGAAGGAGATCGATCAAGGTTTTGTCAAAGTGGGGGAAGGAGGGCGATCAAGGTTTCGTCAAAGTGGGGGAAGAAGGGTGATCAAGGTTTTGTCAAAGTGGGGGAAGGAGAGCGATCAAGGTTTTGTCAAAGTGAGAAAGGAGATCGATCAAGGTTTTGTCAAAGTGGGGGAAGGAGAGCGATCAAGGTTTTGTCAAAGTGGGGGAAGGAGAGCGATCAAGGTTTTGTCAAAGTGTTGGAAGGAGATCGATCAAGGTTTTGTCAAAGTGGGGGAAGGAGGGTGATCAAGGTTTTGTCAAAGTGGGGGAAGGAGGGCGATCAAGGTTTTGTCAAAGTGGGGGAAGGAGGGCGATCAAGGTTTTGTCAAAGTGGGGGAAGGAGAGCGATCAAGGTTTTGTCAAAGTGGGGGAAGGAGAGCGATCAAGGTTTTGTCAAAGTGTTGGAAGGAGATCGATCAAGGTTTTGTCAAAGTGGGGGAAGGAGGGCGATCAAGGTTTCGTCAAAGTGGGGGAAGAAGGGTGATCAAGGTTTTGTCAAAGTGGGGGAAGGAGAGCGATCAAGGTTTTGTCAAAGTGGGGGAAGGAGAGCGATCAAGGTTTTGTCAAAGTGGGGGAAGGAGAGCGATCAAGGTTTTGTCAAAGTGGGGGAAGAAGGGTGATCAAGGTTTTGTCAAAGTGGGGGAAGGCGGTCGATCAAGGTGAGTGAGAAGAAGGTGGACGAACATGTTTGGGCGATAGGGAATCATGATTCCCCTCCAGTCTTGAAGTAACGTGATGTGTTCCCTCGCCAGATGGTATTGCCATACACTGACAGCAC